TAGTCGAATGGTTCGACGCCGCAGGTAAAAAGTCGACCAAAAAGCCTGTAATTCGTAAAATCAAAATGTCAAAATTTGCGAGGAATGTCAGAGCATAATAACAATTGTGAAGTTATAGTAAGTGCACACACATGCATGCACGTGAATACTTTTAGCTGTGTAGTCGCGTGTAAAAGAGGGCGGCAAATGTATTAGTGAGCTGGCAGAATCGACACTGCAGGCGTTAAATGTACTCTATATATATGTATATATCTATATGTATATGTAAATATATGCACATATATAGGAATATGAAGCATGAATGTATGAATTATGTGCAGACGATGGTTTGTGCGCAATTAAAATATCCCAGCCGCGGGGCGGACGCATCAATGGCGATAGCACCGACAGCTATAATAATACAATAACAAGAACAATGGCAACATTCAGAAGTAACAATGACAAAATATAAGCATTTGTGCTCATTTGCATATACATATGTGCATATGTATGTGTGTATGTTAAAGCGAAAGCTGTCTGTGCGTGTGAATCCAAGTTAAATGGCAGAAGAGTTGATTGGAGCGTTGAAATGTGGCTGATAAAGCTAAAACAACCGCAATAATTAAGAACATATCAGCGCGCCATTACTACCATACATATATAGAGAACAATAGTGACTGAGATGTCATGACAAATTATATAATATCTATATATGTATGCATTATATATTCACATAAATGCATAAAGTTAACGAGTGACCAGTCATTCACCAATTCAATAAACGAAGCTGTGGAAAATCTTTGTTTGGTGGTTTTTGGTACCGGCTTAGAGACCCAGAGAGCCCGGGTTAGACCTGGCTAAGACATTCCGCACTAAATAAGGAACTTGTGACGCAGAAGCTGTGTACGTTGCTCCTAGTCATATTTTCAGTTTGAAATTTAATATGTAACAAGTAAGGAAGAGCTAAGTTCGGATGTAACCGAACATTTTATACTCTCGCAAAGTCAAATGGTATACTCGTTTGAGATTTCTTTGTGGATTGACTGATATTTTCGGTAGAAGGTCAACTATAGGTACTGGGGTCCACATATTCAGTACCTAGGGGCTCGAACAGTTTTGGTTCGATTTAGAAAATTTTTGGTCACAAGGTGGCATACTTTAAACGTATTATTCACGCAAAGTTTTACGCCGATATAATCATTGTTGCTTGATTTGCATAGTGGAAAGTGAAAGAATCAAGTGGTATTTAAAATGGTGTCATATGGAAAATAGGCGTGGTTGTAATCCGCTTTCGCCCATTTTCGCACTATGACATAGAAACATGAAAAGAACGTTACGCACCGAATTTGGTTGAAATCGGTTAAGCAGATCTCAAGATATGGGTTTTCACCTAAAAGTGGGCTGTGCCACGCCCACTGTCTAATTTTGAACGCGGTTCCTATAAAGTCATCTTATACCATCTCAGAGATAAAATTTAATGTCTCTGGCGTGTTTAGTGCTTGATTTATCGCGCTTTTAGTAGTTTTTAACAGTACCGTTATATGGGGAGTGGGCGGAGTTGCCACCCGATTTCAACTATTTTCACACCGTCAATAGAAGTGCTAAAAACATTTGCTTCTAGTCAATTTTGTTATTATAGCATTAGCGGTTTAGGAGATATGCACATTAAACCTATTAGAGGCGGGACCACGCCCACTTTTTAAAAAAAAATTTTAACTGCAGATGCCCCTCCCTAATGTGATCCTGTGTACCAAATAACAGTCTTGTATCTTATTGCGGAGCTTAGTTATGGCAAGTTATTTGTTTTTGATTAATGGCATTTTGTGGGCGTGGCAGTGGTCCGATTACGCCCATCTGCAATACCAACCGTCTCACGGTACCATGAAACATGTCTACCAAGTTTCATAAAGATATCTCAATTTTTACTCAAGTTAGAGCTAGCACGGACGGACGGACGGACAGACAGTCACCCGGATTTCAACTCGTCTCTTCATCCTGATCATTTATATATATATAACCCTATATCTAACTCGATTAGTTTTAGGTGATACAAACAACCGTTAGGTGAACAAAACTATTATACTCTGTAGCAACAGGTTGCGAGAGTATAAAAATGTGTAATGACGTCTTCGCTAGATATATATCTCATTCCTCTCTCATGAAATAGGGTAATTTAATGCCTGAACAGAACAAACTGACCGATTAAAGTTCTTGTAAGGAATCTTTTGTATTTGTGAAGGCGAATAATAGCTTAGGTGTAACCGAAGTTAACGTTTTTCCAATAAACTAAACAGACTTTCATGGTTCGCATTACCGGTTACGAAATGAATAGGCTAGCGCTCACTCGGGCAATACAATTACAACGAATGCAGAATTAATCAGAACCCGAAGAGGAAGCCGTTGTTAAGATTTCAGGGGACTGGTGTACCAGTCAAATAATGTTAACACCTGGATAAGGCTTCAAATAAATTAAAACTAATTTTTGAACGACTTTGACGACCAATGGATGATATTCATGCGGACAACCGAACGCGGAAGCATTTAAAAAAATTTTTGTGACTATTTTCTATCGCTACAACAGCAACGGCCTCATGGCTGTTACATGCCACATGACAGTTACTATGCCGAATATTGTAATTAAGTCTGTTAAAACTATATTTCTCCCGTGATTTTACTTAATCAGCTTTGTAAATTTGTAATCGAACGAAAAATAGACGAAGCTTTGACATTCGGATCTACAACAGATGGATTTTTAAATAAGAAATAATATTTACAAAAGGACGAATTGGTGCACGTGCCTACAGGTGTACAAGTACATTTGCACTCGTGTGTGGTGGTGCGATGTGAGAAGGCATGTTATGCCGTGCTCGAATATACTGTATTTTTAGTCCTTACTAAAACCATTTTTGGTATTTATGTTTTAAAAAAATTAAATGGTTATCAGTTGTAGTTTGATTGCAAAGAAACATAAAATAGAGTTTTTTTATTAGGTATAGTTGATTGTAGATATGTGTTATGTATGTATTTAGGGAGGCCCTTGAACAGCATTTTGAATAGTAGTAGATTTCCTAAACCTCAAACCTATCGATACTGAAAGGGGCGAGGGACATCAAAGATCGTACGGCTCTATAAACTCTCAAATATTATATTTGTTCTTCTAATGTACAAAATCGGTACAAGGGTATCTAAAGAGATCATATAGCTTATTTTAGTTTTCAATCTTCCCAGGCGTTATGAATTGAGGGAGCGAAACCGAAAGCCTTATATGCAGGCGCATGTAAGCTCGTCAACACTCTTATAATTTACTTGAAATACTTTAATATTTCAGTGTCCACCTTTTCTTGGAAAGGATTACAAATATAAACTATGCTCACGGAAAGTTGAAATCGTACTATAATTTTTCAAGTCCCCAGCGGATTTTCAACCGAAAATATATGTAGGTATATTTCTGTAATGTATTATTAGATATCTTTGCAAAAATTGGTTGGAAACATGTTCTCAAGTATACTTGAGTAATGCCCAACGTTAATGCAATCAGTCGAGACCTTCCGGTAGCCCCAATATTCCCGATATATTTATGTGTGTGTGATACATATTTTAATGTAACTAAACCTCCGATCCTCTAGTTAATGTTTCGTCGTATATCTAGTCTATAAAATTTAACCTCTATGACTGATATCACACATACATATTTAAATCTCATTTGAGTTAAATGGGTTGATCTAAATATAAATATCTCGGATACGACGCAAAATGTAGCAATGCAACTTGGTGAGTCTATGACCTATAATACAAGTTAATAAGATACCAGATATAATTGCAATACTTTCATGCTTCTGTCGAATAAAGAATGTTGAAATTTTAAGCAACATTTTTTTAATAGAAAGTTTTCCAACACGTATCTTCCAGTTTTCATCCTCGAAGAGTGTATAAAATGTTCGGTTGCATCCAAAATTATCGTTTGCTTACTTGCTAATATTGCGTTTAGAAAAAGTTTCGCGCCGTCCTCAATTACTTGCTGCATAAATGTTGTTATTCCGATTTTTAAATTATTAGTATCATTGCAAGTAGAACCAATTACACTGTTTTTGTCACACGAACTTTGAGATGATTTTTGTTTATGTTGGCGTACCCTCATTAACTATGTATATTTATATTCTGAACTCATATACATACATACATTTTTATCTTTTTATATTCTTGCAACATGTTACTACAGAGTATAATAGTTTTGTTCATCTAACGGATGTTTGAATCATCTAAAACTAATCGAGATAGATATCAAGTTATATATGTATATATAAATGATCAGGATGAAGAGACGAGTTGAAATCCGGGTGACTGTCTGTCCGTCTGTCCGTGCAAGCTTTAACTTGAGTAAAAATTGAGATATCTTTATGAAACTTGGTAGACATGTTTTTTGGTACCGTAAGACGGTTGGTATTGCATATGGGCGTAATCAGATCACTGCCACGCCCACAAAACGCCTTTAATCAAAAACAAATAAATTGCCATAACTTAGCTCCACAATAATTAAATTAATTAGGGTTATTATATTAGGGAAGGGCATCTTCACATTAAAATCTTTTTAAAAAGTGGGCGTGACTAAACACGCCAAAGACATTAAATTTTATCTCTGGGATGGTATGAGACACTTTATAGGAACCGCGAAATTAGACAGTGGGTGTGGGCGCCGACTTTTAGATGAAAACCCATATCTTGGGATCTGCTTAACCGATTTCAACCAAATTCGGTACATAAAATTCTTCTCATATTGCTATATTATAGTGCGTAAATGGGCGAAATCTGATTACGACCACGCCTATTTTCCATATAACGCCATTTTAAATTCCATCTGATTCTTTCACTTTCCACTATGAAAAATATATAAAGATATCTCAAACGAGTATACCGTTTGACTTTGCGAGAGTATAAAATGTTCGGTTACATCCGAACTTAGCCTTTCCTTTCTTGTTTTCCTTTAATATGAGTTTACGTGTGACAAAGAGGTAAACATTTTGTTAAGTTAAATGTTATTTTACTATTAAAACTGTATTTGAATTCACTAACGCTGTTGATCATCATTGACATTCATCAAAAGAGTCAAGACACTGTAAGTATTATTCATGGCCTGAAAAAGTAGAGGTATTATAAATTGGCGTCATACCTAAATCTTTAAGGTTTTGAGAAATTAACCTTCGAAAAGATTGGTATGCCGATCTCGAAAAATTTCCCAGCACACAACACCAATGGCTTTTTTAAAGACTCCATATAGAAGAAAATTAGACGTCGATTGACTGCAGACATAGCAGTCCAATCACAGCTGTAGAGGTGAATGCCCAGTTTCTCAGATTCTATAGTCAGTTCATTGCCATAGTAGCAAGGTAGAAACATTTGCAGAGATACAACCAGTGCAAATTGAAACATGGCTAAAAAATGAACAGGGTTTTCGCTGAAGTGCACCTGAAAAAATTACTATTGGTAATAATGCATTCCTTTGAATATATCAATTTCGGTTCTTACACTTTGTAGATTGTAGATTATGAAGCAAATGATTAGGAAAGTGAGCATTATCTGTGTTAACATGCTCAGTGATATGACTTGCTCACAGCTAAAAGCCATTCTGAAATTAAATTAGGAGAAATCATGTGATTTTATAGATAGTGGATACGTATACCTGAACTCACTCTTTCACACGCTGATGCATTTTAATGTTATTTAGGAATTCTTTGGTGATCGCGTTTTCCGTACCGGCACGCTCCAACCGCTCCAAGCGCATACTGATTACCCGAAAACAAAGTGTTAAATGCAGTAACAAATAAGCTTGGAATAAGTCAATCGTAATGTTGCACAAACAAGTGAAGGGCATCGCGATAAACTCATAACAGTACATTGGCCAAAAATAAGTATCGCTCCAATCATAAGGCGTCCATAGCGCATAAGGCAGTTCGTATGCGCCCATTAATAGTACGCTAAGTAAAGCACAAATTGCCGAGTTGAATCCCGTACAGATATAGATCAATGTCAATTTGTGGAAGTTTATTTGTGTTTTTTGCCACATCTGCTCTTCGGCGCTAGTGCGTAATGCGAATATCTCACTGCTCTCCCATTCATTCACCAATTCTGATATCTTTCGTGCGTAGTACCAGGCATTGAGTACTTTGAAAACAACGGCCACTTCACAGAGAATGAATTTTAGCACATCTATGGCGTGGTTCAAACTTTCACTGTACATAACTTCTAAGACCAGGAGCAATGTAAAAGTGAAAGTAATCGTAGTGTGCACGAATAACTGGTAATACCGATAATGTCGCTCAAACCGTGAACCGTTACCTTCATGCCACAAGCCCAAAGCGATGAGTAGACGCTTTAAAGTGTGAAAATTTGCCATTTTATCAAAAGCCATTTTTGAGGTTAATAAGCTCTGACAATTGTATTAGTAACTGCACTTCGTCGAACAGAGCTGATACCTTTTATAGCCACTTCTATGCATTCCTTGTGCCTTCTAATAGTGAGGGCGCGTAGTAAATAAAAAATTTATTATGATTTAATGACTTAATGAATTGGGTTTCGAAAAGCTCTTTCAATTAAAAAGCGATTATGGAAAGTGCTTTCCTGTCGAGCATTCACACTGTTATACATCTAGTCTTTAAAGAACTTTAATTAAATGCTCAAAATGTTAAAATTAATTACGTTTCGTTGGTCGATCTCAAACTTTTTCTAATAAAATATTGAGATATGGTTTATAATGCAAATTTATTATTAGTGTTCCTTCCAAGTGTTCAAAGTGAAAATTTTTCTCAGGTTACGCAAAAATAATAGACAATATCTGGAACTTTTTTTGAGATCCCGTAAAGTATATATATAAATGATTAGCGTGATGAGCTGAGTCGATTAAGCCACGTCCGTCTGTCTGTATGTTGGTATATATATATGTACAGGTACCAGGTACCTCAGTTTTAAGATACCGATCTGAAATTGTGCACATGTCCTTTTCATCCTAAGAAGCTGCTCATTTGTTGAAACCGTCAGTCCAAGGCTTCGCAACAATCTCCGAACATATTGTTCAGATTGAACCACTAAAGCATACAGCTGCAATTCAAATTGACCGATCAAAATCAAGATAAAGATATTTGTATACCCTTTTTTGGTAATTATAGCTTCGGTGTAGCCGAAGTTAACGTTTTTCCTTATTTTTGGTTTTATTTATTTCCATTAAATCCTCTTTACATTTTTCTAAAAGCTTTATTTCCTTTAATAGTGATCAGCTCAGGCCTAAAAAATACATGGAAATAAAATTTTGTAAAACTCGATGTGTAGCAAGTCTGGTTTCACAGTATTAAGATAATACCTATATTAAACGAAATTAAGTTAAATTGGAACATATCTCTGTTTATGTTCTATATATTATACGAAATCGGCCCATAAACTCTGTTTCATCAATCGTATGATAATTATGGTGACAATGTTTGGCTTATCAATAGTTTACACCTTCTGCCTTCTACCTCCTATTCCCAATTTAAAGATTTCCGTTCTACTGGTGGACTTCACGCTTGTGTAGAGGTTAAAAAAAAAAACATTCGTTTATCACAGATTAGTTTGTATGTATCTCAAAATATTTTAAATGTTATTTATTAATGTGAATTTTAGTTTAGTGTGATTTAGAAGCATGAGGATTTTAAAATATTTTTTTATTGGACAAAATATCTTAAAGAATGAAATCACCTCAAAAATTTCAATTATTTAAATTTTCTAGAATAGATTAATAAATTATTTGAACTCTTTAACGATCTGTTCACTTCTTACTCTGACTTGTTATGCACATGATCCAGATACAGTTATTATACATTTTATCTCTTTTAATTATCTCTTTGGATCGATCTGAAAGTCTTATACTCGTATAGTGAAACAAGTATATGGAAAGCAAGGGCCCTTTTAGGAATACTTTCATATACTATATAATGCTAAGCCACATTGTGACCAATAAAATATATTCGCTTATTTTAATAAAACCAAACACATATTGACCGGTGACGTAATAGACTGAGTTCACGTACCTTTAGCGTTAAACTAACAAATGCTTGAGAATATGTTTCCACACAATTGTATTAGTAAAGATAAACCTTACTTTGACCTATATATTCAGCGAAAAGTCTTCTAGATTAACGAAAATCATTATATTTTACATACTCGTATGTATTGTAGAATATCGGGACAGATACAATTCAACGACAGATTTCATCCACTTTCGGCACGAACGGTATATCAAAAATTGTACATTCACTTAATGTTAATTTTTATAAAATAACTAAGATATCGACCTATTTATACTATTTGTATATAAAGTCAACAAGAAAATTTAAGAATCCTTATATTAGATACTCGTATATGGGAACTAGAAGAATTATTGGCCCAATTTTCTTAGTTTTTCGAACAACACAAAATTATCATAAAATGATGACCTCTGAATTTCATCGAGACAGTTTTCAGAATTAATGTATATTTGCGGTAAAAAGTAAGTCACAGCTATTGAGATCCTGATATTCGTCGTTTGAAGGCGTGAAAAGTTATGTCGCCCATCTTTCTCCCTGTGTCATGAATGCAAGCGACAAAGTCTGGTTGACATTGCTTTTGTAAGGATATATATTTTCTAGCATGATCTGTGACTCAGTATGTCTATTTGCAGTACTACTCTTCTCACTCTTCGCTCAATTTTTACTCAAATTATCGATCGTACGAGCATCCGTGAATCACTTGAACTCATCATTTTGATAAATTTATGTATGAGATACGCTGAGATAATATTCTAAGATAGCATAAGGGGCATTAATAAATTATGTAAGGCGTTTAGGAGAGGGGGGTGTTTAGTGAGTCTTATAACTTCTTACCATGGGCAGGGAGGGTAGTGAACTTTGTACTACGTAAAATTTTAAATTTAAAAATTCATCACTTTCGCGGTAAGAGTTGGCGTTATAGAATAGCGCCATCTGTACTTCATCTCTTTAACTAGATATTGAAACAGATTAAAATCTATTATTCTATTTTTATTTTCGTTGTCATGTTATATCAGAGAACGTATATTATATATTATATTATATATTATAATATATATTATATATACGTTCTCTGCTTATACGTGGAGTGTGGTAATAGATGCATCTTTTTAGTTAACACAGCTTCTTTATTTCACTTCATTCATACAGTAATGCATACTTACACACACAGTATATACTCACATGCTACTAATCGGTCGAATTTGGAAAAGTGTACATGTAATGGCGTTAGATATTAAAATAACTCTTGAATAATAATTTTAATCAAAACGGACCAGATTGTTAGAGCTTATTAAAGAATGTTTGAAATTTTCGAATTAACGACGTGTGTACAGGACAACGTCTGTCGGGTCTCCTAGTATATATGTATAACTCTATATCTATGTCGATTAGTTAGGTGTTACAAGCAACCGTGTGCAACTTGTTGCCAGAGTATAAAAACGAAATAACAAACTTCCATGAAGCGAGTGTGAAGAGGGAGATGAATTGACGTTATATAAGTGATATAATCCGTTTATGTGTGAGTGCTGTATTTGCATAAAAGACTATATGTACATATATACTCGTATGATGATAATGAATATCTCGTTGGCTTTAGAGCCGACTGCTAACTGCAGGCCACTTTGTTGGGTATGATTCGAAAATAATTGCTCTGTTGATGACGTTTGTCGGGATGATAATGTTGGTGTTCGTTTGCGCTGCAACTCATACAGAAGTACAATCGGCAATAATGATGTTGGCGCTGGGTGCAGTTGATGTCGAAAAAGAATAGAATTAAAGCCCAGCGGCTAACAAATTTTAATATGAAGGTATACTTAGACAAGCGGGCGCTTAGCGATAAGCGGGGAGTGGCTGCCAGGTAGCCGACAACGGCAACGATAACGCGCGGCACGGGGCGCGGCATAGATGATCACAATTTCACAGCTGTATAAAACGACAACACCGCAAGCTATGTATAATAACAACAAGAAAGCTGCAGCAGCATTGATAGAAATAACCAGCGCAATGACAAAATGGCAACAACACAAATAGAAGTAGAAACACACAACCGTGCCAGGCAGCAAATGCAATAGCTATAACAAAGGCATTGGCAACATTTTTCAGCCACCGGCGATTCAAAGAAAAACTTGTGATAAATTAACCGCGAGCAATATTTCGAAACAAATATGCCGGCAGCGAATCAGCTGTAATTAGTGTAGCGTCTCAATCGGCTGTAGGGTTGGCGCCGGAATGGGCGGGTGTTTGTGAGGCAGCGCGTGCAGGGTGCGTGTGTGGCACCGTGTGAGAGCAACGGAAGAAGCGGTTGGGTTAAGGGCCTTCAATGAGACAGCAGTTTCGCTTTGAGGTAAATGAGAGCGTCAATGCAACAGAGCGACCGTAGAGAGGCGGCGGTGCCATTGCAGACGTCGTCGTCGTCGACGCTGTCGCCGACATTAAGCCCGCAAAAGATACGAGCCTGCTACATGCAACATGCAAATTTGCTACTATCGCAGCAGTTTAGTGGCAAGTCGTCGTTTGGAAGTCGAGCCGGGCGACTGAAGGAATGCATTCAGACGTACGACATCGAAGCCCGAAGTTATGCTAAGGCGTCGTGCTTGAAAAATTCGCAAGGAATACGGCGAGGTGGCAGCGAAGCAGGGCGAAAAGAAGCAGAGCTAAGCCTGAGGCAGATATGAGTACAGACTCATATACAGAGAAAACTTAGACTATGTGTATGACAGCGAAGTAAAACACAGGAGGACTCAAGGGGTGGCGCACAAAGAATTGATATACGTGGCATTTATTGTTGTTATTGATGGCGACGGCGACGGCGACAATGTGGAGAAATTAACGCCGACGGTTATAATTTCATTCGCATTTAAAACCATCTCAGAGCTCATTTCGTAAGTATAAATTGCACGCACACCAGCACTCACATATGTGTGTGCTCTCGTTTGCTTTTCATATCGATATGTATGCGAGATCATACTAAAACAACGGGTATGTGTTAAAAGATGCAGTTTAGCTTGACATATTTAAGCACATGTATCAATTGTTCCACAAAATGTGAGGATAAAAGTGCATGGCGGTTGAGTCTGAAGTTTCGAATGTTCGAAACCATTTACATTTGTTTGATTCAAGATGATGTTCGGCTTTTTATACCCTTGCAACATGTTGCTACAAAGTATTGTATGGTAGTATTGTATGGTATATATAAATGTTCAGGATGACTAGACGTGTTGAAATGCGGGTGAGTCTGTCTGTCTGTCCGTCCGTAAGTCTGTGCAAGCGATAACTTGAGTAAAAACTAAGATATCTTAATGAAGCTTGGTACACGTGTTCCTTGAAGGAAGAGTTCGCAGATGGGCGTGATCCACTTCCACGGAATCGGACTATAACCACGCCGACTTCGCATATAGCACAATA